CCCAATGCAGAGTGGCTCGCTGAACATCAGGAAATGTACTTTGAACCTCCAGATTCACAAAATTGATTCACCCAAAGCAGAGCACTATCGGAACAAGCTTAAACTCCGCTGACATCATGCATGGTGGTTGTTTAATTGGTGTTAAGGCGCCTTGACACACATCGCGACCTTGTGCGTGGTATTTTAGGCTCACTGATTCCGTGGCTGGCGATCCTCCTGGGCATTTTCATCCCGCTGATTCTCATAATCCTCCTGATTCTTGCTTTTGTCTATCGAAAAAAAATTCCATTTATGAAGGACGTCGTTAGTAACAGGAGAAAACAGGATGACGCGATATCGTGAGTCCTCTTTTTCCATTGCCATCCATATTATAACACTGTTCGCGGGGAGATTGAAGGTGTGTTTAGCACTGCCATGTAGCGTATTTTGCTCCTGCGAAGGACAGTTTTTTCCAATTGGATGGTGTTTGAAAATGTAGACCTAGCTGCATCTGATTTGCCTTTTCACACTTCTATTTTGGAGTCGCAGCTAATTTCCACAACCATTTTTTGATTTGAAAACTACTTAGTGGATTGCCAAATTATTTGTTCTAACCTATCGACATGATTTGGGGAGTTTACTGATGAAAACAGTTGAGATTTCAGTTACTTCATTGATAAAACAGCGACTGTTCTAGACATAAATCTTGGTTAATTACATAATTTGGAAACATGGATTTTAGATCGTATCAGTTCGTTAAGTAGCTTATCTAAATTTTTTCGTAACTGTTTGAATATTTTTGCGTCTGATGGCCAGAAACAAATCGTTCTTTTAGATACAAAAATTCAGGATCACCAAGGTACATTAAGCCCAAATCGTGTCATTACTAACGCCTTGTACAACTAAACGACTAACTTCGCATTGCATTTTTAAAATCATCTTGATAAAGTACAAGTATATTTTACCGATTTGACCAAAAGTGTTTTAAAGATCGCTTTTTATGCCTTATTGCGTGATTTTGTTGGAATTCATGCTTGAAGCTTAACCAATTTTTAATTTGTAAATGCGTCTGCAGCCACCTAATTAAAAAACACACAAGGACGACATAACAGTCTTTCAAAGAAAAACCAACGGTAAAAACGTGCAACCACGAGTTAGCAGGCTCTGATCCATATTAGGTGGAAAGAATACTTTTAACCGAGTTTGTTTTAAACCAGTTTTCCGAATGGTAGGTCGTCTGACGCAAGTGTTCTTGCCTAACCCCTTTGTGGATTGTCGAGTAACAACCCTTGGTCGAGCTTGGAACTCACCCGTATAATGTGGTTTCCACTTGTTGAAGCCTATTTATGAAACGTGCGCGATTTTTTTTGCATTTAGGTCGGTCTTTGTAATTGAATATTATGAACCACCTACGTTGGCCTATCGCTCGAATGTGTGAGTTGGTTTTATTGCCTCTTCCACCTTGCTGTTCGTAGTGAAATGTGGAAAGTATTTACTAGAACACCTCAACTGCGGTCATTGTTGCGCTGTTTGTCAAGTCTTAAAGTGAATTTCATAGCGACTATTAGCTGAGATGGCCGTGCCTCTGATTGTGTCATGTCTCGTGTTTGATTTCGATTCTCCTACAACCGCCCAAAGCCTCTGTCGGTTTCTTTTAGCCCGCCTCCAATTTCAACCGCCACTCTCAGCAAATGCATCGAGGACCACAAGCAAAGTGGGGAATTTAACCAGCTCTTCATGGTCTGTCCTCAAATCAATGTTGATTTGATCCCCTTTTGTGCACTTTTAATGTAACTAAGATTTATCAAGTCAACTTTTGGCCACAGAAGAGTTTTCCAATCACTGATAATGCATGTTGGTTCTGCATCGTTTAGGTTAACAGCCGATGTTGAGTTTTAAGGCATTATGTGTTGTTTAGCACTTTAGAAAGGTTTAATGGGAAAAAGTGCCTGAAATTCAACATTAAAATAGTGTAACCATTAAGAGAAAGATCTCCAAATTAATATCCAAGTTAATCCATCTGTTTGATGATGTAATAATAGAAACATCCACCCTCCTTTTTTTTAGAAATTGAAAGGAATCTCAGTCACCGGATTAGAACATGAGTACCACTTGACAAAGAATGCCGCTGAAATGAACTCTTCGCTAAACCGATATGTTGATATGGTTCCTTGTGAGTTATTTTGTGATAAATAACGCCTGTGTGCTAATAAGCAACTAGTAGAAAATGAGAAAAGTGCGATCACCAGAGGTGAGGTGACGACACGTCCATTCACCCGCCTGCTGTTGAATAACAGTGCTTGAGTCAATGATATCCCCATAGGTGACGCTCACAGTGGGTTTGGGTACATCTCATGAGAGTGCAGTGATAACAAGCCAGCTTTCGACGTGTGTGAAGTCTCAGTCATAGGCCGCTTTCTTGTCTTCCTAGATGACCAGTCATTGGTAATGCTGGGTCACCCGTGGCCAGAAATCACCGATAATCTGAAGCCACAAGTCGAGGTAGGTACAAACATTTCTTGTTCACGATGCTTTGGTTCTCTCGCACTCATAAAAATGCCAAGGTTAAGTGCGTCAATACAACAAAGAAGTAAAGAAAAGGCTCTATATTATGATAAGAAGTGGCGTGCGTAGTATCCTTAAATCGAAGCATCTAATTAACGTGACTTATTCGGCACCAAATACGTTTTAACAAGTCATCAATTGAGACGGTTTCACGCAGATCACCTTGTGGGCAAAATGTGAGTGGCGTTTAGCGAGAACCAGAAGAGTAAATTGGCGAGGAACCAAAAATAACATGACAAATGTTACATCAAGGTTTCTTTTTACGAAAATGCTGCTTTATAATTTTGGTCCCATTGGCAGATTATGTTGTTGAAAAGCATGAAAACGTCAAGAATGGGTGAGTAACTTACATCGAGTTGTCTGATGTGGCAAGTAACTCGCTCGTAGCCTTAAGTTCGAGTTATAGCCATGACACCCTGCCAAGTCATTAAAACAGCGATAATCGCACACCATCGGTTATGTCCATGGTTCCATCGGTAAGAAAGCAAAGGGGATCAACGTGAACATGGAATGCTTCCACAGAGATTAAAAGAACACACACGTAGTGTCTCTATGTCTGGTGTTTTTGTAGTTCTCTAAGTTGGAAACGTTCTACATAAACGCCTCGTACATTCGGCGGCCTCGCTATAGTCCCAACGGTGGTGAGGCCACTATTCCTGGTGCTGATACACCACCTGAGTACATTGCAACGCAGGGCCCACTGCCAGACACTGTAGTCGACTTCCTGACCATGGTCTGCGAACAGAAATCGCCCCTCATTGTGATGCTATGCCTGTAAGTAAACACAATTCTTTTTTAACAAGAAAATCACGTATGCGAAATCGGGTACAAAGGAGGAGCCCAGTATTTGCACTCAGAGCAAAACGCGCAACTGAATGTGTCTGTTTTCAACGACAGCACACTTGTAATCTTGGACAATTCACAAGAGAGAGAGAGAGAGTTTAGCTTCGGCACATCATTAATTCATCACACAGGCCTGACATGTTACGTATAGTGGCAGTTAATCGCACCGTCATGTAATTGCAGAATCCGATTTCTACAGAAAGCGGTTCGTGGCGAGTGTAATACCAGCGTCGAAGAGCTTGCAGAAAGAGTTAACGTGATGTAGTGTCGTCAATTTACATGATTCATTCTGCATCTTGGATGCATCCAAGATAAGAGTTAGCATTTGTTCACACTTTGTTGGGCAGTGGATTTAGCTCCCAAAATCAATAAAGATAATGGCTTGAAAAACATGAGTAGAATTCCACGCCTCAACGGGCACCAGATGCCCACTAGGAGGTCACGTGGATTAATGGGTTTCACCAAGTTTGAAAGGTCAGGGTCAGCTACGTGGCATCTTGGTGTTTGTCAGCCACTCGAGAAAGCATGTGCTTGTCCTCCTACCGAGGGAGGTCTGTTGGCATTATGCCACCTGAATGATGTTCACGCCTATTTAACTCTTGAAAGCGCGCAGTTGCCAAAATAACATCCGATGCATCTCACTTTTTCGAAGGATCCAGACGAGGTGCAGTAAAGTAAGCACACTGATCTAGCAAGGTCAAGCAGTGCTGTGCCACGTGATCGTTGTGCTTGATCTGTTGTGTCGTCTAGTCTTATTTACACTCGGTGTCTCCCGCGACACGCCTCGCTTTGTATTTAGTTTAAGTCTGACATAACAACTCCCAATATCACGATAATAAGTGTGAATTACTAGGCCAAAGGGCAAATGGTTTTGTTGGTTACTATGCCCTGAAAGTAAATTTGAACCCTGTTTACTGACCTGACGGTGACAATGACTCATCCCCTTTCCACTGGTTACTGTTACCAGATTCCTGTCATCCGTTCACTCATCGGCGCACCAAGACACACTTGGCTGGCGTGACGCTAATAAACGGTCGTGTCCTCTGTCGCCTCTCTTCGCTCCATTTTCGGGTTGTTACGGGCTGTTAACTAGAGGGTTGTAAGGTAGTGCTAAAACACAAGCCACTACAAGTTCATTTAAGTGCCTGAAGCGCATAAGTCAGCAAAGGAAATTCAACAACAACAGGGTTTGGGATTAAATTTAGAGAAAACCAGACAGTCGAATGATTGGTAGATCTACACAGCAACCGATGAACAAGATTGTGGGTGTATGCATGAAAAAGGAACAGTGTTGGTGGGCCTTCCCATTATAATTTGGTGTTAGAAGCATGAATCTAATGTTTGGTTGGAAAAATGCATATTTATTTGCAGGACTGAAGAAAAGGGGAAGCCAAAGTGCAGCAAGTACTGGCCTGATAAGGGTTCCCAGGACTATTCCTCATCGAGTCGAAAAGTCCGCGTTACTCTGATGGGAGAAGAACAGTGCGAAAATTGGTGCCGCCGCCAACTACGTATTGAAATACCAGATAAAGCACAGGTACGCTCACCTGTGATTCGGCTGTGTGATGGCATTCGATGATGAATTAATTGGGGTTAGCCCTGAAACCCACAGCCAGCTATGTCAACTGAGCTACAACTGCATTTAAAAGTGGTTGTTCACGTGACTCGTTGAATTCTCCTGCGATTCAAAATGTCCGCAGCAGAATTATCTGGTTTAAACAAAGTTAAACCCCTACGTCACCTTTTTCACATTAACCTAGTCCATTGCTTTAGAAAACATTACTTAAAACAGCTGAAGATTGAAATAGCTGAGGTACTAACATCAGAAATGCTTTTCACATTGATTCGAAGATAATCGTAGAAAGAAACAAATATTGTATTTAAAATCCAGGGTTTCTTGGCAATATACGCGATTATTCGGCTCCCAGAAGCTGTCATTCAAATTGGTGAAATGGAATTTGCAGTCCTTGAGGAGATGGAGAATAAGTCGGCAATAATTCGAAGGCGACACAATCGTTTAACTTTTGCGCAAGAAGATTTGCGATTTTCGTAGCGATGCCAGTGAAGAAACTGTGGTGAATGGTGCTGATTCACGTCGAATAACCCGGTCGTCGGATTCTTCAACACACTGCCACGCGGGATCGTCTGGTCATGCCAGTCTGTGTGTACTGCCCAATTGGCTAGACTGTTTTAGTCAACAATTCCATTAGTCAGGCACAATTTGTCGAGGGTAGTGTTGCAACACACTGAACTGAGTTAAGCCATCTATTAGACAGTTGTCTCCGCTATCTCCGATATGCTTCCTCTTCCAGTTTTTCGGAATGTTTTGTTTTAATTTCCCAGCCCTGGATGAGGACTTTAATACAAATCCTCATTTAATGTACCTCCTTTTCTCTAGACCTGGGATACTACACACATCCACTTCTCGAACTGGCCGGACTACGGCGCCCCTCCGGTGGAAATCTTCTACAACCTGGTTTTGGCTCACGTGGATGTCAGAAAGCAGTATCCTTTAGGGCTGGATTATGGCCCAACAATTGTGCATTGCAGGTAGGCCAGTCGAAATGCAGGTGCACCCGACCAAGCCAATCTTGAACAAGAACTGACATTTTAGTAGACCCTTTAAATGACAACCAGAATTTTGACTTCGTTGGAAATTAACTTAAGTTTCCTGTACCTAGTAGCAGGCAATTGATGCCGTGGATCTTGCTACCGACTCCAATTCATTGAATGGTGCTCGAATTTCAGCAATTTATTGTTAAGGACGTGTTGCATTTAGGCCTAACGATGTCAACCAACCAACAAAGCTTTCTGATGTAACAATGAGCCCGCGCAGCTTCTGGCAGCTCCGATAACGTCTGAATTTTAATGAGTTTGATCCAGGCGCACCTATAAATAATCTCCTCCAGCATTCGCCTCTATTCTCTGTGGTTTATTCCCGACTTAAATTATTTCCATAAATACAACTAGATGCCAATTACAGATAATTTGATACAGTTAACAGAAGGAACATGTGATTGGGTTTGTTGTGGCTTTTTGTTAGTGCTGGAGTTGGTCGAACTGGAACGCTTATTGCAGGCCGATTCCTGTTGGATCAGTTGCGTAAGAACAACCAAACGACTGACATATTTGGCACGGTTTTGGCTCTTCGCAAGTGGCGAGCAAATCTGGTGCAGGCGACTGTAAGTCTTTTTTCTTTACAAAACGGTTGGCTTAAACGAGGCAATGCTACATCACTACATCTACGTTATCTACACCCTATAAGTTGCCTACTTCCACAGCACTTACAATTAGCGTGAATTGTTGGCACCAAAATTTTATCCTAATTTGTCATCACCAGACAATTCACCTCAATTCAACACCTCCACTATCCAGGGCTAGACACGCAATTCGAAACTGCTTGACTTCGGGTGTAGAAATTATCCGCAGAACTCGAAGAACAATAAGCATCAAAAGGAGTACTAACGGTCAATAAATTAAGCTTGTGAATGCTTTAATCATTTAAATTTCGCTCTGGAGCACACAAAATTGAGAAAATGCTACGTCAAACCAATAGTGTGTGGACAAAGGATGAACTAACGAAGCCCATTCTCTCCTTACAGCCTCAGTTCCAATTTCTCTATGAATTTGTCCAATACTGCTTGGGAAGGGAACGGGGTCACCAACCCCTGGCACTTCCAAGACAAGCGCCTCCACCACCAGACAGTGAGTTTGCTTTTCGTTTTCTAATCAAAGACAAACGCCAGCCAAATTTTCTGTGATTAGTGATTTCCCAGAAATTATTTCAATAGCGACAAATTCGAGCAAAAATTAAAACATATACGTATCTTATCTCGTTGTTGGTTAGTGGAGGAATTCAGTTGGCTTAAATAAAGTCAAGTAAGCGTTCTGCTCTTTAATCGGACTGCGATTTTTCCGCATTATGGTGATTTCAAATCTGTGACATGTCCATTATTGTTCATCTCAGAAGAAAACATTTAACAATTTTTCGGTAGGTTATGGTCAAATTTGTAACAAAATTGTAAAATGTCGCTGATAATCGAAAGTCACTGTGACTGAGACACTGTACAAAGCACTTCTTGTTTCGGTTTCTCGATCTAAAACACAGTAGTAAAACGTAGTAACTCAGGTACGCAGACTGTACCAACGCGCGCAATCAAATTTGGATAATTTCTTGACTTCCAGTGGTTCCTCGGACTCTAGACCTTTCTGTTTTAGCCAATAATGAAGGCGAATACATGAATATTGTGGGTTCCGGCAAACCGAACACGACCAATGGTAAGTTTATTCTGCGTACAATTTATCACATCTCCAACTCTGCAACCCTCGTTGTGATGTTTCATTGTCGCTTGCGACTGGTGCGTTTCTCAACATCATCGAGATGCGTCTGTCTCTGAGCTACCTCAAGCCAATCAGACACAATTTTCTGTATTTAATTGTGATTGAAGTTTTTTTTAATTTATCGTTAAGTGGTAGATTAAAATGCCATTATGCTCGTGGAAATTTCATCCTACCTCTTACTTCGACTAAAATAAGTACGTATCTCAAGTTTGGAATGGACTTCAAGTCGACATTCAACCAAGCAGATTTGCACAAATTGCGACTCCAACGGACACTGCAATCTCTGCTAGCATTTATAATAAATATTGTTGGTGGTGTCAAAATTGTTGGTATCAGGAAATTGACAAGGGTGTAGTATTTGTCATGCGCAGCTTTAATTTTTTCTTACTTGAAACAAATATGGAAGAAGTAAACTAATCTCGGTTATTATTGCCATAATTGTTTGGGGTAGTGCTTATCGAAAATGTGTTACCCATTAATGTTGCGTCATCTAATTTAAACCAATGAGCAGCGACCCGATGTGCCGTCTGTGTCAAGTTATACTTTAGTAACAAATCATTATCGTGGCCCGTTTCTGGCTTTCTTACATATCAGAACAGATTTGTGTGGTGATTGGAATCAGTATTGTGAGAATGTGGTCAGTAACCTCATTGTCAGTACCGCTAATGTCGCTACGATAGGCACGATTCGGTCAGTGGCACGCCTGCTCGTCACTTCGCACTAGTGCTTGAGATACAGACGTACTTGTGACGACGAACTGAATTACTAGTGAAGAGGGCCGCGCTCACTTTTGTTTGTTTAATGCCAAAATGCCCAAAATTGTGGTAAGAACTGACTAAAATTAGTTTGAAACTGCAGTAATATATTACTTTGTAAAACGTTTTAAGTGTAAAAATTTGGCCCTGACCACAACTGTAGAAAGCATTTATTTGGGGGAAGAATTGTCATCGACATGTAACTACGACTTTGAAGAAAAGTGTCAATGACCCATCTGCTGTGTTTTGTCTCTCGAAGATACTGAATTCCAAACTGCTGAATTAGCCTTTAAACCCTAGAGCATTAATGGAATGTGACCTTCGTGAAGAATTCGAACCTATTCGAATTCCAGGAGTCGATGCAACATATATTTACTGAATAGTTTCCTTCTGTCTTGTCCCAGTTTTTATTATCATATCAAATTTAAGGATGCCTTTCATTATTGGCATGCTGTTCTGGTAGCATGATAAATGGGATGCGATTATCCTACGGATGCCTTAAAAAGTTGTTTAAATCTTGAGCTCTTTCAGTAAGAGAAATTTGCAGCTTCATTACAGAAATCACTTGGATAGGGATGTCCCGTTTTAATGGCATCTACTACAAGTTTCGTCGTCTTTGGTTAAGGAAATAGAATGTTCCTATGGAAATAAGGCCAATAGATGTGCCCTGAAGGGTTTCAACAATTGACAGTATTTTGCATGACGTCGCAACGACACACAATGAGTGACCATCTCTGAATTCCCACAAACAACTTCTGGTTGTCATTGTAGGACCAAAATGTTGAATTGCCCAAGCGGGACACGCAGCCAGGTGGTAAGTGAATTCATTGTAGTGCCTGGTTATATTTTAAGGATATTTCAACTAGGAATACCGTGTTTCAAATGCATTGTCCAGTTATTCCAAGTGTTCGGTTTTAAAACTACAGTTTCGTCCACATTGTGGAAACCAGAAATAGATTAAAATCTGAAGTTCGACTTAGGCTTACCCAGAGAATTCCACGTTGGTCCACTTAGACCAGATTTCTTTGAACCCATTTGAAAACGGTGATTGCACACAATCAGGCTTACACCAAAAGCTGTCATAACGTGTGATAGCTCTTTGCAAGTTCTGTAATGGTTGATTTTCACACCCATTGCTTCTGTCTACTTAATTCTGACCACTTGTATTCTGGTACCAGTTAGTCTTTCATTTTGCCATTTTTAGCTGACCGCAAGTAGAAACTCAACTTCCGGAGCTCTTTCAATGAAACACCCTTTATGCTCAATTTTTTATATTTTCTTAAATGTGTTTTCACTCACTTTGGAATAGCTTCTTAATAAAATGACCTTTTTATTATACTTATGTAACCCCTAAATGAGTGACTGAGCCTCTAACCCTTTCCTTTTCTGTGATTTCCTGTTTTTGCACACCTCGCTGACTGGTGCCCCAACAACCGGTGCTCATTTCAAAGTCATCTGATGCCATACTTCACCAACAGTCCACAATTCTGCTCGGTAAATTTACATGCGCTTTACAGACTCAAAAAATGCCTGTCTGCATCCCTGGGGTAAAGTGCAAATCACAGGAGAATCACAAAATTTGAAGAAACAAGGTAACGCCTCGGCAATAAGGCATCAGTCAAAAATATTCAGCCCTTACAACGCAACAAAATGAACTCCTACTGGAATCAGAAAGTAGCAGGTCTTAGTCCTTTTCTTGAGACGGTGCTTGAAGTTTCCATGTCAATTATTTCCCAAAGTCTACTTTGCTAATTTTAAAAGTAGTCTTGATTTCTTCCTGACCTGTGGGAAGCAGTGTTGACATGGAAAAAGACCAAAAGTGCATGGCGGTCCAGTGCATCGTTTTCCAATGCTAA